TGGGAAAGGCATGAATCCAACTCTTCTCCATCAAGCGCCAAAATATTTATCCTAAATATGTTAATTGATATGAACGAAAGACAATGTTGATAGGAAATTTAGACTATAAGGATAAGGAGAGAAACTGATGAGGAACAAAAGGTCAGGTGAATTTTGGAACCTTGGTCTTGCACTCAGTTTAACACTTTCACTGCTACTCATTTGCCCAGTGCTGCCCCCATCCGGCCAGCCATTTTAAAAGAAAATGCCAAATTTCAACCTACATATTTTATTACACAGAAAACTGTCACCAGTGTGTTTTACAGCATTCCATTTTCATGGATATACCTGGGAATGACTTACAAGATCAGTAATTGATATACACATGATATCTTTTGAAGCATTGTCCTTTGTGATTTTACGATAGATGGCGCAATGGGACACTCATACCAGCGGCATGCAAAAAAAAAGTAGGTTTCCGTACTTAGCCAGCTGGAGCAAGATAAGAAAAACGAACATCTCCGTAGTTAGCGGCAGAAGTGTTAAATGTTAGGGTTTAAAATGACAAATACTGACACGATTTTTTCCCAAATCATTGAGGTTTTTGAGGAAACTAATTTGAATGTAAAGTTTAGGCTCAAAATCTAGCGTTGCAATATTTTCCGCTGATCAGGGAACGCTTTATAGCACAGCCTTATAAAATTTATAACTTACTGAAGTTTCACAATTTGTATATGGACAAAATGCATGACACAAACGAATCATTACTAAATCATTGTATCATCAAATAAGACCGCCATTTGCTTCAAATGGAAATTATACTGAACAATTTAGCTATACTATGATGTAATATATTATACAATACAGTAGTTTTAGGGCGATTTATAATAAACAATGCAAATTTAAAACATTTTGTCTTATAATTTGTGTCCATCAAGATTATGGTGTCATATAGACTTTTATATATTTTTTGTTCTTATTAATTATCATCTAACAAATCTTATTCATTATGTCGCCTTTTTTCTGTAATCTTTTACAAATTCTGACACACTTTTAACTTATCGAATGCAGTAAAAAATTGCCTATTTTGCTTGTGTTGATTCATAATTAGAATACTGGTCTGAATATATTTTCCATTCAATGTATCTAATACAACATATATATGAACTTTATTTGGATTTATTTTTGATATAGTAACATTTTGGAGTCAGTTTGCGAGCAAAATCCTGCGGAAACGAGGAAATTATGTGCATTTTTTCAAACTTTACAGTCTAGGAATTTAACTTTTGGTGAGCGTAATTATCACATCAAGCCGCAGCTTTCATCCGAGTGTAAAACTGATTTTCTCAAAAAGGTGAAAAATCAACCTTCCCAAATAGATACTTCATATCGAATTGTACAGGGTAACAGACACGTCTCTTTCACAAAGTGGAACGCCATAATTTCTTACATTTGTGATACGGGGAAAATGTCAATGATCCAACTCCAAGGAAGTTGTAAGGCCTATCCTAGATGTAAAGGTCTGAACTAATAAAAATTAAAAATTAAGTTCATCTGAACATCTGCCATGGAAATAGCGATAGATTAGCGACAGCCGAGCAACGTTACGTCGGTAGGTAAGTGGTTACAGATTGGACAATATGTCATTCAGCACACGACAGCGTAAATGTTTTTGAACAACAATCAAGGCTTGAAAGTGAGTGAGGAATGTATATCTGAAATGTGGCTGAAATAATCCACTGTTGATTTCATTTGGTTTTAAATATGTTCGTTGTAGAATACATAAACGAACATATCTTTAAACGAAAGCAAGATCGAAGAAATCATATGCTTTTATAGAGCGATTAAAGGAATCAAAAGTTGGTTTTTTTTCGGCATATTTAGCCGTAGATTTAATATGTGTTCCACAACGTCTGGTGTGAACTTTAGTCTTAAAGCATTGAATCACAATGTAAGTGAATTAATTGATTTATTTTATTTTATTTTATTTATTTATTTTTTTTTGCAATTCATCAGCCTTGTAATGGTTATTTAAAAACAGAAAATATTTTTAGTTTCTAAGTATTGTTTTTTCGAGAGATAATGATTTCCTGATACATATTAATTAAACCATAGTTTGCTGGAGAAGAAGTGGATTCAATGGTATTTTCGTGAAGTGAATATAAGAAATTCAACCAGAATTGGAACTCTCAACTATCCGATTTGCAGTTCCGAGCTGTTAACTATTGCACCAGCCGCACTTCCATGATTGCAGCAACTGTTCTTCCCAATTGTTCACCCATCCATATGACGATACTTAACTTCAGAACCAGCGTTTCGAAATGATAAGACCGTAAACCTCAGTAAGAGCGGAACCGTTTATCGTTACTGATCGATGAAGCAAGACTTCTCACTTGGTTTTTAAGTGTTAACAATTACTAACTCCTCATTTCTCACATTGTAACCACTCTTGCGTTATGTTGATTAGTACGTAAGGTGGCACCGAGGTGACACTATTCGATCTCTGTCGGCACTTCACGTG